GACGACGAAGCCGAACCCGAACCCTCACCTCCACCGATCAACGCCATCAACAATCTCCCACAAATTTCAAGCCCTAAGAAACCCGACCCGCTTCCTCCGCCCCCTCTGGACCTCCTGAAACCCTCAAATTCTCGAGGTCTTATTCTTCCTCAAACAAACACAAAGATTTCAACTTGATAAAGTTTCTTACTTTGTTTGATTTCGTTTTGTTTTGATTAAGATTTGTATGATATTGAGCAAGGAGTCCGCATCAGGGGCTTTCCTCATGTTGAAGGCAACTTTGCTCTTCATGTATTCATTCCAGGTGATTGCCTACTTTGATTTTGTTGCACCCAAATTTGATGTATTTGATGAATATTAGTAAGGTTTGTGTGAATATTAATCTTAAGGGCTACTGTAAAAAATTGTTTCTTACTGTTCATATTGGGGGGGTTTAAATTAGGGTAAGGATCCAATGCTTTACCTTTACCTTTAATGGGTAATTCAGAAACTATAATTAGTCGACCGTAAACTCTGTGGATGTTGTTTTAGTCAAAATGAAAATTGCTATATTGTTTTTGCTGTTTAAGAGAAAATTAATGACATGAATGAAAATTTTAGTCTGAAAGGAAAGGAAGTTAGAGCCTCTCATAGTGTAGTAGATATTCTATGTTATAATATAGGACAAATTTTCAAAATCAACCTGTTTAGAAATTTAATTGCAAAAATCGACCTATTTAAAAATTAATTACCAAATTTGACTACTGAAACTAGGTCGAATTTGCCGAAAAAATTTACATAACTTCACGGGACTTGACTTCACGGGACTTCAAGTCCCGTGAAGTTTAAGCCCCCGTTAATCAAGTTGATTAGGGGGTCCAAAACTTCACGGGACTTGAAGTCCCATGAAGTTTTGTATTTCGCCAACTCCACGGGATGAAGCCCCGTGGAGTTGCAAGTTTTAAAAAACATGCACAGGTTCTGTGTAGGTTTTTGATATACAAGAAAATAATTTCGTAAAATACACATAATTTCCTAACAATATACACACATATTTCCCAACAATATACATACAATTTCCCAACAATTTTACAACAATATACATGAAATTTCCGCCTCATTCACAACAATATACATGAATTAAACAATACACAAAATCACATATATACTGAATTACAATAATATTCATAAAATTCAGCCATGAATCAAATAATACTCACAAAAATCATATATATAAACAATAATCGATCCACAAAAGTAACAAATTTGAACAATCTAACCATATCTTTCTTAAAATTCACAAAAGTAACAAATTTGAACAATCTAACCATATCGTTCTTGAAATTCACAAAAGTAACAAATTTGAACAAAAAAAATTCACATACATCCCAAAAGTCCTCTCCTTCCTCTCCCTCTCTTACCCCATCCCCTCACTCTTCCCCCGTCCCCGTCACCTCTGTCCATGCTGATGAGCCTTGATGAACTGAATATCTGGTTGTGTATGAGATTGAGAAGTGTCGGCTCCATCAGCATGCACCGTGCTATGAGAAGTACCTGTTCCATCGTCATGCGCCGTCCTTTGACCTGTCCTACGTCGTCGCGTATACACTTGACCAAATTAGCGTGACCTGTCCTCACGGTCTGCAAACTCGTCGACATGATTTTTATGAAACACGCTTGCTATTCTCTGTCTGATCCTATTGAAGATCCCTAACACCATCGGATCCTAGAGTCATTGATATGCTCATTTATATCATTCTTAATCTCATCAAAAACATTGATCTGCTAGTTAATGAATATATACACAACTTAGCAAATACGATCTTAATAAAAAAGAATTATCGTTTTAATTTAGTTTAAAAACTTGCATAATCTCTCTTGATCATGGCACTAGGGATGTAACTATCTATCGATGGGCGTGACATGTATCTAGCTACTGACTGTGGGTCGCGTCCTATTTATCTGCATGTGATATTCTAATACCAACTCATATACGCGGTATAATCATCAGCTAGAATTTTCTCATCCTGTATGAAATTCCACATATTATTCCACCTGTCTATGTAGGTCGCACGGAGTACGACCCAGTCCGTACGATGCGATGTTATCCGTCGCCTACGATCGATTTGCTCAACAGGATCCGACATATGCTGAGAGAGAAGAAATTATCGTAACACATGATCCGAGACATGTATCTCTACAGTCCCCTAACATATCAACTGGACTCTGGCTCTCCACAAAGTAGCGCTATCTCGACAAATAGGTGTAAGAATATGCATATCGAGATCTGGCGGAGAATAGGATGTCCACTTGAACTGAATTTTAAATTTTTTTATCAATATCTACAACAAAATCAAAATATTCATAATGAATTGAGTTTTATATTTACCTGTTGGTGTTAGAAACTATCAAGCTCATTTCGGTAAAACTCTATATGTTTAGTCGCTGTTTGTAGTTAGAGTATCTCCCGTTATACCTATTTGGCATAAAGAATATATGAGAACAAATTTAATATGAATAAAATTTATGTATAATTATATCTGCATCCCAAAGAAAACTGACCATGTAGATCGCGATGCATAAGCAAAATAGGTCGTCCAATATGGATGCGTTCCCATGATCAAACCTGTATTAATGCCATGCATCCCTTAAAATTAAAAGGTTATATATTACAAAAAAAGATTGTCACATGGGAACAATGATTAAAATTAAAAGGTTATATATTACAAAAATGATTGTCACATGGGAACAATGATTAAAATTAAAAGGTTATATATTACAAAAACCATAAGCAATATATTCCATACAATTGTCCCCAGATAATCAACGCTTAATCCTAGTTGGACAACTGCTTTTGTTGTGACCCGATTGACCGCATCTACTATACTTATTTTTTCTCCTAATTCCTTCTCGACCGTCATCCATATTATTTCTAATTCGTACGAAACGAGATCGCCCAGCTGATCTTTTATACAAATGAGGTAGTATCTGTGGCCCGCCTTGTGTCTAATGTCGACTATCATATGGTGGACAAAAACACTCTATATGTTTGTTGATAGTTATAAGTTGAATACCAATCTGCAGCGAATGTATAATGTGAAATACTCGCACCATCCTGTAGATCCGAGCAAGCCGCGACAACATGGGAACAAGGAAGCCATTGTGATTGCGGTATATTACAAGTGCATGTACAAGTGTGATCCACTAGCATATTAACTTTGTAAGAGCGATTTTTTCTATGTGATATTCCCTCAATGACTTCCCATTCATTAAAACTATATCTTACGACACGAAATGATCAAGCCTGCATAATCCGATCCGCTAATATGCCTTCAACCTTCGGCGTCAGCTCTGACGGGATATTTGCACTGAGTGTGCGTCATCTGAGAAAGAATTTATGAAGTCATTAAAATGTTTTTGTAACTAGTGAATGTATTGGCATACCGCGTGCTCCCTTAAGCACACCATTGAAACTCTCAGAAGCATTAGTGGTCATCATACAAAATCGTTTCCTGCTATCACTGTTATCAATAGCGGTAAATAGCCCCGTAATAGCGGCGTTAATAGCGTTAGCGGTCCCTTCCCGCGACGCTATCGCCCGCTACGCTATCGCGCAATAGCGGTGACATATTACGGAATATGTCTGTTCACAAAAGCAACCAATAGTGTGTCATAACGGTAAATAATGAGTGATTGCATTTGAAATTTACTTTTTTATTCCTATTTAAAAACGGTTTGAGGTTTATTTTTTTAAAATTAAACTCAACCCTTGACCATTGCATTCCACCATCTCCTGTGATTTTTAACATACTCCCGCCACCTCTCATAGCCTCTGATACCTACCTTGATACTTCCTTTCACCTTCTTCACCGTGAGCTCCACTTAGGGCAGTCCTGTCACCGCTAAGCTCTTCTTTTCGAAGACGACGACTTTTGACTCCTCCAGTTATCTTCGGTATTACGTGATGGTTACATGTCTATTTCATGTTTAGTATCTCTTTAAATCATTCAATATGTACCTTTCGATTTCTTAGATTTTTCTTTAATTTTTCTTTTTTTAGTATTTATACATATCTAAATTAGACCGCTATTTGACTTTGTGTTTTTACCGTTATTTTACCGTAATAGCCCGAAATAGCATTAGCGATGTCTCATCGTTACGCGACGCTATCCGCTATCGATAACCTTGCCTGCTATCTTCACATAAAGCCCACTTATCAATATTGTTCGGACCTAAACTAGTCTCGATCCAATCATGTGCAACTCGTATAATGAATTTAATGCTCTCCCGTAGTTGCTCATAAACTAATTTTTTCGTTGCACAGTCAGCTTGCGAAAGAAGATCTTAAAGCTGCATTTGTCCATGCTTCATCTTGAAGTTATCCCTAATATGTCGTAAGCAATAACGATGTTGATGTGACGACAAAAAATATCATTGGAGTGCTATTGGAATTCCTTTCATCCTATCAAATATGAATGTAATCGATCGCATTTGCACACTAGGGATATGGTATCTAATGCTGTAAAAACCTTGCTCAATTTTTTGTGTTTTCAACATCAATCACTGCAAACGCCAAAGAAAATAAACTGTCATCTGCATCTACTCCGGTTGCAACAAGCAAAACGTCTTTATATTACCGTACAAGTGTGTGCCGTCAATGCTAAGAAGAGGACGATAATATTTGAATCCCTCAATGCAAGACCCAAATACCCAAAATACACCTATGAATCGTCTATCTCCGCCATCAACAGGGTCTGATGATACTTCATACACTATCCTTGGATTTTTTGAGTGTTTCAAGATAATGTGGTAAGATCTCATAAGATTTGTCCCAATCTCTGAATATTTTTACCATCGCCTTCCTCCGAGCATTCCAACACTTGTTGTATGATACATCCAAGTTGGTCGCTTTATATACTAAAAGACGAATATCCTTTGGCCTTAGATCAAGATCCTCCCTTAGTTTAGGCATAATCAATCGATATATGAAAGAGGCGGCCGCGTGTTTATGATTCATCTTTAATCGAGGATTGCTACATAAGTGAAGTCTGTTGTAGTTAGTGATTTTAAATTGCCCGCCTATTCTTACACCCAAGCATGAATTAATCTTCCAATGATATTTTGCATTGCCGTCGTGGTTCCCATCACTATCTTCTTCTTCGTTATTTTTGCGGTAAAAATATATTACATTATAGCTTGTTGCATTGTTTTTTGTTTGTCTAAACTTGACATTTTTTTAGATGACCCACAAACGAAGCGCATAAATCAATTTCTCATTGCTTTCAAATAGATCGCCCTTTTTAAATGAGAAGTTCTCACCTTGTGTATCATCTACTACATTAGTGCCGATAGTAATACTTTCCATCGTGGAGTTATCAATCCATTCTTCTCCATGAAGTTTATCGGGCGGCAGATCCTCTAACACGACATACTCATTGTTAGAGTAACATCCGTCAATATGTTGATTGTCCCCTTCATCACGATCTATCAAACATGTCATGCTATTGATTTGTAAGCCATCCTCTTCATCATCATCCTCGGATTCGACACATGTATTATCATCTTCTATCGTCACTTATGTGGAAGACATTATATCTTGATGGGGAGCGCTATCATCGAAGGCATTTGAAATGCCGACAAGCGAAGGACTGCTCAAGTATTGTGACTGTGTCCATCCTACATCTTGTTGCGGAGATAAAAAGCCGACGGAGTCAACTTCAAGGTCCTCCAACATGCTAGAGTATATTCCATCGTGATTCATCGATTTGCCTAAATTTATGTGATGCTTTTCAATAAATAATTCCACCAAACGCTTCTCATCTTACAATATTCCAAAAAGGCCCATATCGTAGTTACTTGAGATTTAGATGCTGCTTGTTCTGTTCCCCGTAACAGGATAATTGTAAATAACGTTGAGGTGATACTCACGTGAATTGGTTAATGTAAGTTTGTGTAAGTCATTAACCAATTCATCGAGGTGATACTCACGTGAATTGGTTAATGTAAGTTTGTGTAAGTCATTAACCAATTCATCGAAAGTACATGATTTTGAAATGTAAGTTTGTGTAAGTCATTAACCAATTCATCGAAAGTACATGATTTTGATATAAACAATGGTTTCGTCACACCTTCATATACGAGCATATTATTCTCGAGAAAATTAATCTTTCCATCATATGAACAAAGAATTACGATTCGATCGTTTATCGTTACCTCTGAATAGTAAAAAAAATATCAATATTATACGAAAAACACAAAAAATATTATTTACCATTAAATCCTCTAATATCGATTTTAGACATCCATAATTTTAACCTCTTCTAGGAAACAACCACGCTTTAGAACAGATGAACGCTGCATTTTAGCGCCCTAGAAATGATCCAGGTTGGAGAAATCATCCCAATTTTGCTTGGAACCAATGAAATTCTCATGGAAACCAAAACTTCATTCCCGCATCGAACCAACAATTCCCTAGGGGAAACGCTGTCCCGTTCAATGCACCAAACAATTTTGCTAACCCACCTTTTCCAAACCAACATCCTCATCCTCACCAGCCTACAAATCAATCAAATTATCGATTTTAGACATCCATAATTTTAACCAAATGTCAAACCTTTATAATACACTAACTTTTATAATTTTCGATAATTTCCCCTCACTTCATACACAATTTTCTTTAATTTTTCTTCACAAAATTCATAAATATTTTAAAATTTATTAACATCTAAATTTAAACAAGTTATATATTAGCATGAAATAGTGAGAATATATAAAAAAATAGGAGAATTTTTTTAAAAGATTTTACCTAAAATTTGTTGATGCCCTAATTTCCGGTGAACTCCGACGGTGAAGGCGACGAGATCGATCACCGGCGGTGGATTGTTGGCGTAGCGGTAGAGGGGGGGGTGGAGTAAGGGTCTAGCAGGGGGGGTGGAGTAAGGGTCTAGGGTGTGGTAGTGAAGGGGAGAGAGAGTACTGTATACGGGACTTCAATGCGATGAGAAATCGCGTGCGTGGGTGGGCCTTATATAGGCCTTGCCCCAACTCCACTGGACTTGAAGTCCCGTGAAGTTAGCAAAGTACAAACTTCACGAGACTTTAAGTCCCGTGACGTTTTGGGCCCCCTAATCAAGTTGATTATCGGGGGCTTAAACTTCACGGGACTTGAAGTCCTGTGAAGTTTTGTAATTTTTTTTGCCAAATTCTACCCAGTTTAGCTGAAACTGGGTCGAATTTGGTAAATAATTTGGAAATAGGTCGATTTTTGCAATTAAATTTCTAAACATGTTGGTTTTGAAAATTTGTTCTATAATATAAGAATTTAGCATTGTTTATACTTAATATAAAAAAAAATTAGCCAGTAGGGTTTATGAATTTTATTTATTGATTTTTATTGAAGGGCAGAAAGCTATTTTCCTGTACTATGTGATTTGGTGAAGGGGTAGTAAAAACTTAGCTACATAGTATATAGTAATATTAGCCTACTGTTTTGTTCTTTTCCACTTTCACTCCTATTTTGATCCCTATAATACTTAGGGTCTTATAAGAAACACAAGAAGATCGAGCAACAGGAGATTAGAGAGAGGAGAAGAATAAGATTTATAACCTTTTCTTTTCTAAATTACATATACTAGATTGGGTGGCTGTGGAAATAGGGCAAATTACAGGTGTCCATGTGTAATATGTGTTTTATTTGGAGGGGTTCAGGTTGATATTGTGTGGTGAATTGAGGAGGGGGTTGTCTGGTGGTTACATATGTGTGTGATGCGTGCATCATATTTTATATTATTATTATTATTGTTGTTGTTATTACTATTATTGTTATTGCTATTGACATGTTTATTAGTGGCTGTAGTGGAGATTATTGTTAGGTTAATTTTCTAGCAAACTAGT